TCCTTGCAAACCAATATTTGGCATAGCTTCAACTATCACCTCTTTACATATCTCCTGACTTTACTACTTTTCTTCTCAGTTTCACTGAAACTCTAAATCTATTTTGCCAATCAAAAAACCATTTTGCATTATGTAAATATTTAAGTGCCCACTGTTTGCAAGGCCTAACCTAGGTAGTAGGTTAAGATGAAAGAAAAAAAAAGAAGTCACACACCACAAGCGTTTTAAGACTCTTAGACTTATGGGCACCTTAATGTTTAATTTTATATATCTCATTTAAGATGTGGAACCTTGCCCTCTGAAAGTCTGGAGAACTAAGACATAAAAACTCATAAAATAAGACTAAATATTATCATCAGTGTTTTCTCAATGTGACTATTTGCCTTATTCTGTCAGGGCTTACCTCACTACTAGAAATTTCTGATCTTCTTAAGCAACAATTTAAAAGGAACACTAACAGTGCGGTGATTATTAAGCCAGCGATACATGGATGAATGTTATTTTTGTATTGCTAAATTATATTAGCTCTTAATCAGCTTTCTGAGGCTATATCTCTGCCAAAGGAATGACAAGTGTACTTTACCACTGTCATCGAAGCCGTGGGTAATTTCATGTCCTATGACCATGCCGATGCCCCCGTAGTTCAACGATTTAGACTGCTGGGCACTGAAGAAGGGGGGCTGCAGGATGCCAGCCGGGAAGACTAGAAGGAAAGAAGACGGTTAAGGATTACTTGTGGCTTTATTTTGGGATGACAGGCCTGGAGTTGGCTTCTTGCCTGCTTAACTGTTTTCTAGTATGTCCCATTTCATTTAATTACATACAAAAATCTTTTGTGATAGAAACACATGCAAGTCTTTTATTATTGATGATAACAAAGAGTTCATCCCAGAATAACACCATTAATCTGTGATTTAGAACCATAATCTACTTGACAGTCTTAGTAAGATTGTTTTCTGCCAAAAGGAGGTTAGAGCAAGGGGTAATTATCATCTTCAATCAGAAGGTCTTTTCCCCACTGTAAATATTTGGGGGAAATAGTTACTTAATATCACAAGTTTTATTTTTAATGTTAGCTCTAACATTTTATCCAACTTTAATGGCTTACTAAATAAATAGAGCCTCTCAATGGAAGGTGTCTCCAATCGCATACCTGTATTTTATTTTCATCAAGAAATCTATGACTGTATATTTCCTTTATGATTGTTGTTCTTGCTCTTTACTGGCCCACCTCCTACCTGCCAACACCTCAACTATTAGGCCTTGGAGAGCAGAGATTTGTGTTTGTTTTTGAGTTGAGTTTTTTTCAGTTCACAATCTCCAGTACTTAAAACAAGGATAGTGCTTGGAACATTCTAGGTGCTTAGAAAAGGTGTTAAACAAATTAATAACCTTCTATATATATAAAAGCCTAAGCGACCATTACGACCGGTCAACTGGTTGCTATGATGTGCAATGACTACCAGGGGGAAGACACTTAATGCAGGAGCTACCCCCTGGTGGTCAGTGCGCTCCCACAGCCAACCTCCAGCGGCCGGACAACCTCCCTTAGTCCCTCCCCTTGGCTGACCAGCCCTGATGGCCCCAATGGGGACTGGGTGGGACTGTGGGAGATGACCCTGATGGCCCCAATCACACCAGCCAGGCCAAGGGACCCCGTCCATGCACAAATTTGTGCAGCAGTCCTCTAGTAATAAATAAGTGAATAAATAAATTTACTACGGTGTCCCAAAGACTTTAGTAAATAACAATTTTATAGGTCTACTCTAACATCTACATTAACTTGTTAACTTTCTACACTTAGATGTCTTATTGTTTAAATTTCATGTGTCAAACATCAAACTCCTCATTTTCCCCTGTAAACCATAACTCTTTTGACTTTATTATTTCTATTCATGGCATTTGAGGGGTCTCAATTCACCTAAAGTGAACATTTTCTGCTTATCTCAGATGCCTCCTTTCTTTAACAAAGTCGTACACAGTCTGCTTAGTAAAAGAATGGATCATAAAAAAGAAAAAAGAAAAAAGAAAAAAGAATGGATATTGCAGCCCAGCTGGGTGTGGCTCAGCAGATGATCATCAACCCAGGAACCAAGAGGTCACTGATTCGATTCCCAGTTAGGGCATATGTCCAGGTTGCAAGCTCGATCCCTAGTAGGGGGCGTGCTGGAGGCAGCCAATCGATGATTCTCTCTCATCGTTTATGTTTCTATCTCTCTCTTCCTCTCCCTTCCTCTCTGAAATCAATAAAAGAGAAAAGAAAAGAATGGAATATCCACCTCCCTTCTAGGAGTTTTTCTCCTCCTATCAGCCTTACCCACACCATCCTCGTGCATACTCTCATTCCTTGCCTTAGAATTTCCTTGCCTTAGAATTAATTTCCTAATTGCTCTTACCACTTCCTATCTCACCCACCTATAATGTATCCTAAATCTAATCTATCCTGCAGCAGATTGAAATGCAACTTGACTCATTACCACTTCCCTGCTAAAAAGCCTTGCACGGCTTACAGCTCTCTAAGGAAACGCCAACGCTTTTGCCTGGTCTGGCTCCACAGCCCTCTCCTACTTGCCCGCCTCCCTCATGCAACTCCCTTTAGTTCGCAGTGCTCATAATTTAGTAACTTTATTTTTCATGTTTGAAAACTCTAGTATCCACTGAATAACTGAAACAATATGTTCTGGAACAAAAAATATCATTAGTATAATATCTATCTGCTTGCAAAGCCACGGGCCATCACTATGTGGGATACCAGGAGCACATAAGAAGTGCCCTGACCTTAAAAAAATTAATATCTAGTCAACACCGAGTAGTAAATATTGGGGTGAATATAACATAGGTTTGCATGTGTTTCAGGGGTAAAAATTAGATATTTACAGAGACTTTTAAAATACACTGGGCAATCTAAGTGCTCCCCAGACATCTAAAAAAAATCTGTAAAGTTGCTATAGCATTCAAAATGACCAAATAACAACAACAAAAATACTTTTGTCCTTGGTGAATTTTGATGAAAGTTATACCTCATATGTGGCTGCCTAAGCTGTCAACAGTGCCAAGAAATAACTTTTAGCTTAAAGTATAAAAATCACGTGTGGTACTTTATTAACTGAAAGTGAACATTATCTCCCACACTATGTACTCTGATTAAAATCCACCCGTTCTATAAATGCTCTTATGAAACGTGCTAGCAAGACTAAACGGTATCTGTAAAGACCCTGCTGCTTTAATTATACCCTAATATGCCATTCTTCAGGCGAGTGATAAGATTTTTATGGCTCCTATTAAATACTAGTCTTCAACTTCAGCTTTGCAAAGGATGATTTCTCCTTTTTCTCTGTCAGCTAAACCTCTATGATGAGGCTTTTTGCCATTAGCCTTATCACTCTTACTAGGAGACTTCACAACTCTTCATAATAACCAACTGCTTAGTTGCGCATATTTTATGGGTGTCAACAAGCTAGTTAATTAAATAAGTCATTAGTCCATGAAACAAAAGACTAGGCTTCTCCCTGTTCCTCCCCCTCACTTCCCTGGTTCATGTTTTTAAGGCTGCAAACAATTCAAATTTATAATCTTTGATATAAAGTTCATGATTATAATTAGGTAACATCAATTTTTTGGTATAAAAATTAAATTCTTTTTATATTTGATATTTGGAAATATTTACTCTTAATTTTCAAGTCTGAAAAGAATACTCCTAAGAATGAATGAGACAACTTTAAAAAACTTTCTTATCTCAAGATAGTCATGGACCATCCCAGCTGGATAAACTAAATATAAATAATCAGCAGATTTCCTAAAGTTTAAAAAAAATTTTGGTTGTTAATGAAAAAGGAGAATGCAGCAGAAGTAAGTATTCCCTTCTGACATGATCATTTCCTTGGATGAGATTTTAAGGTTTAATAAGATGATTGAATATTGCCTGGAACTTACAGGGAAATATTTGACAGCAGGAAAGGTTTCCAGAGCTCCATGGAGCAAATATGCAAGGGATAGAAACCAGTGAGTGAATTAAATTCTTTCAGTGTACTTTGCTGCCATGGAAGATGTGAATTGGTGGGGTGCATAAAAATTGGAATGTAGCCTACATGTATGAATTATGACAAAAGGTAGCAACTGAATTAAAAAGGAGAAATTATTACTATGAATAACTCCCTGTATGATAATAAAACATTCTATTTTTTTTTACCATGACATAACAAAAACAATCCCATGCGATATTGTATGCAATTTAATTGGGGTATTTGTGTGAAGGTGGAAGGGTCATCTATGACACACATGTTATTTTATACCAATTCTAATTCTATAATGCACATGATACCAAATCCATGAAGATAATGTTGCAAACATTATATATTTGTGTATGTATACACACACACACACACACACTTTTATCAAGAAGTAAGAGGGAGATCAGGACATTCAATTATTTTTAGTTAAGACAATGCTCACTTTGAAGATTTCAATGAATTGTCAAAAGAGAAAACGTTTCATGTCAAAGATTTCTCCTCTCAAATGACACTTTCCCTTTCTCTGAACTGCTATTATTAGCAGACAAGCGTATGAAAAGAAGTTAACAATTTTTTTAAATTTGGTATTTCCTTCAGATGATTTTATCTTCAGAATCTTAAAAAATGTCTTTCTTATATATTAAGAATGGGTATTGCAGCCAATTCTTGATTATTCAGAGGTTAATGGTCTACTTTGTGAAATGTTTTCTTTTAGCTGTGTGCTTGTTTGGTTTGAGGGCATTAAATACAAAATGGGAACATTCCCAAGTCTTCTCTGATAAGAGAATCTTTGACGTGGACCAATTTTGAGCCAGCTCCAGAAATATGGGGTAACTCAGAGCCAAACAAGGTTCTGTCTGGGTGTGACCTATGTGGACCTGCTCTGGAGGAGAGCTGAAGACCAGCGAGGTCTTATGGAGGGTCTGATTGGCTCTTCTCATTGGCCTGGCTCAGCACTAGGTCTGAGAGGATCCGGGGCCCTTCCTGAGTTGGATTAAAATGAAGCTATATCCCTTAGTCTGCCCTAACACAGAACCAAAATCCAGGCTGCCTTACTTTGCCTTGGGATTCTATTAAAGGTTATTTATCCCATTTAAGTCCAAGTCTAGCATGAACTAGATGTTACACTGACAGAATTACTGAGCATCAAAAAGAGGTCTTCATGCCCGGCTGGCATGGCTCAGTGGTTGAGCATTGGCCTATGAACCAGGAGGTCACGGTTCATTCCCGTTCAGGGCACATGCCTGGGCTGTGGGGCTCCATCCCCAGAGTGGGGTGTACAGGAGGCAGCCGATCAATGATTCTCTCTCATCATTGATGTTTCTTTCTCTATCTCTCTCTCTCTCTCTCTCTCTCTCTCTCTCTCTCTCTCTCTCTCTCTCTCTCTCTCTCTCTCTCTCTCTCTCTCTCTCTCTCTCTCTCTCTCTCTCTCTCTCTCTCTCTCTCTCTCTCTCTCTCTCTCTCTCTCTCTCCCCCTCTCTGAAATCAATAAAAAAAATATATATTTTTAAAAAGAGGACTTCAAAGTAAAGACTCTTTAGCAATAAAAGCACTTCTAAGAAATGGTTTCTAGGACCACATTATAAAGGATAAACAGGTTCTGAGTTGATCATTAAACAGGCTCTGGTCTGAGTTTAGGTAATCATTCCACTAGCTGGGATGTGTATGAGCCCAGAAAAGACTTTGAGTTAATTGATTTTAACCTGGTGCACATGCCTTACTTATTATCTACATGTTATATAAAAAGAAAAACTTTTCTGATTATCCATCATTTGCATGTCACATACCAAAATAAATTCCAGCTGGGTTAAAGATTAACTCAAAAAATAAAAACCATAAAAAATACAAAAGAAAATGCTGATAACTTCTTAATTAGAAATAAACCATTTAACTAAAAATGAGAGTATTGCTTTAAAAAACTACTTAATATGTTTTGTACTGACTTAAAATTTGCAACTATCATAAAAAGAGATACATAAATAAATTTACTTTCAGAGTATATTCAATAAATCAGTAACTTGGCTCAGCTATACTTTTATGGGTAGTATTACAAACTAGTCATGCAATTCACTACAGGTTATAAACAATAAAGGGATAATAAAACATTATTTAGGAATAGATCTTACCTATTTGATTTCTGCCTGAAGAATAAAATGCATTGACTACAGCTGGTCCGCTTATCCACCTATGGAAAACATGACGAGACGTTATAAATGACACTGCATTGTCTGATTCAATCTACTCAACACAATAAAAGGATTGTTACTATTCCCAGATGAATGTTCACTTTCTGCTTGAAATATGATCAACAAATTAAAATTAGCTCGCTGGGTGAGAAAGCTCATTTGAAAGTATTTCTACTTGAAAAATCAGAATATATTCAGGTCTGCAATCTGTTATTTCATTTGCATGAAATGTATCTCTTCAGAAATTGCAATGGATTAAAGTTATATTGAA